CCCTATGAGCTGCACACAGAACAAGCAGTTTGCCCTTGGCGTGACGGGCGCTGCCCAAACGATGCCCTGGACCAAAGGGTGTGAAAGGAGCTTTTGATGATGTGCATTCAAACCTCCCCAAAACTCCTCATATTTTTTTGCGGCTTGCCAAAAGCAACTAACCTGTCAAGCGGATTTCAATAGTATTTTAGACGAACTCTTACATGCGTACCAAAATTCACACGAGACTCTGGCGCAAGGATGATGTTGCCCAGTTTTGACTAGGATTGAGCTCACCAAAGCGAGCCGATGGTACGCCAGCGAACAGCAAGCATTAGGACGCGCATTCCAAACACGACACATCAGAACAACAACCCGCGCGAGTCGCATGGCACAGCAACGCAAACGCGCGACCTTCCAAGCACTGCGCCTGCGTAGCAAAACAGCAACATCACTGCTCAAAAGCTACAATTTGCGCAGGGTCACTAAAAGCGGCATCGTGAAAGTCACATTCGAGAACGGAAAAACCCAGCGCGGCCTTACGCAGAAACATGTGTAGAAAGCGAAGGAGAGAATCTGCCTCGTTGGGACGCAAGCGCCTGAGAGTGGCAACAGGGGATCCCAATGCTGAAGGGCACGGCCTCAGGGCAACGCTGGCAGGTCAATGAGGGCTAATGAGGGCAGTGCTGGAAGCGGGTGGCAAGGGCAAGGCAACGATGTCCACACCACGTGTTGATGTTGATTGACGAGTGCAAAGCGCGACAAGTTGTTTGTTGCGCCGTGCTTGCTGGAAAAGGGGGCTGCCAAATACAACCCCAAACGAAACCAACGATTGAGCGTGTCAAGTATTGGCAAATTGTAGCAATCTCTCCTACTGAACATGACGAGGGACATCCCGTATTTTTCGGTTTTGCAAAGGCTCGCAAGGAAACGAATCAACCAGATCCAGCCACCAATGGTAAATAGCGGCAGCTTGCGAACATCCGCATATTCCCATTTGGTACACGGCACCTAAATCCTATGCCCCTACTTGGGCTTGTTCGCCGGATCCGAGAGAACCCTCTGGAAGGTCGCTGAAACGTCAAAACCCAGCAGTACCTCGATCCAACCGTGGACTGGTCCAACCTGCTCTGAACCACGCCCTCCCCTGTTCCACAAAAGACCCTTGTAAAGGCATGAATGGCATGATTTGGAAACCAGGCGTTCTTTTGATTGGCGGTTTTGTGCGGAGGGTCGTCGAGCCGATGTTGTTTCAATTGTCTGTGCGCGGTTGCAACCCGAGCAAGCTTTCTTTTTGTTTCGAGAGTGGCGCTGTTTCGATGCACATGGACCGATGAGCAAGACTGGATTGCCATTTTGCCTTGCACCAGGCGCCAAATGTGCCAGTTTGAGTTGCCTTGGCTAAAGCCAGTTCTGGAGAGCCTCCTTTGCTGAGTCCACCCAGGCAAGCATCCCGATGCTCACGCCCCACATACTGGAACTACCGACCCACGATGATAGGCGGATATTACCGAAAAGTGAAGGGCACCCTTCTAATGGGACACCCCCCTCAAATCCACGTGGAGTTTACTGATTCTGCCTGAGGTCCACTGGCACTTGGTGCGAGACAACGCACACCTCCATCTTTGCCATCGCTGGGGCCCACAGAGGGCAAGTGAGCTGCCCCCCCAACGGCGCAGGTAAGAGGATTGCGACTTGTTCAACGGATGTCATGCCCACACCAAAGCCGGGCTTGGAGCTTTCTTTGCTGCACGTTCCTTGCAAATTCCTTGCATCATGCCTGTGTGAGTTGCATGTGCGAGTTGTTCAGAGGCCCCCTTCGAGGTAACTTCAGGGAAGAAACGTGAAAAAGGCTTTTGTAATTGTAATGTATTTGTAAGCACTCTGTGTTGCCCGCCTTGGCCAGTCTGCTTTTTGCTGGCTTTGAGGTGCTGTGTTTTGGTTTGAAGTGTTGTGTTTGTTTGAGTGGGCGAGTTGGCACCGAAATGCGTATGGTGGCTTCAGAGGCTAGAACGAGCTGCAGTCTGAGAGCTACGGAGGGGCAGGGGGCTGGGCCAGCCCAATTTGACCGACTTCCAGGCAAATGTGGCCGGCTTCTGTTGGCCGGCTTGGCTAGGTTGGAAAGGCTGGCTTCTAGTGGGTTGGACGGAGAATTTGACTGGGGGACTTCGACTAGCTTCTATGTTTTTGGGAAGAATTGTCTGGTGTGGTTTTGGGAAGGGTCTGGCCTCAGGGACCTGTTTCAGAGGAGCTGAAGACAGAAGGCCGCAAAGGGTCCACTGTTTCTCACAGGAAGCACCAGCCATGTGAGTCACAGGGGTGGGGCCCCCTGCCTTTAACTGGAAGATGTTCGGACCCGCATCCGTGTCGCAGGTTTAATGAGAACCCTTGGAGCCTTTTCTCACAACATGGCTTCGCGCCTGCGACAGATGCATGGTCTTTGCAAATCCCAGGGCGGCTTTGGGGAAGGTTCGAGTTGGGTCCGGGAGGATGCGATGCTTGGGCCCATCTCCTTGGCTTAAACGAAATGTGCTTGCTTTCCCCGCGCCAAAAAAGACTTGTTCCTCACCCAGAAGGTTTAAATGCAGGCTTGGTTAAATCAGGTGGTTGAGGGGTTGCAAACCTGAGGGCCCCCGTCGGCCAAGGTACAGACGGTCCCCTTCGAGCTGAGGAATGATCTAGAGGCGGATGGATGACTCACGTTAGGTGATTCTCCTCTTGCCGGAGTTGTGCTTGAGGGGCCCTGAGCTCACTTGGGGTTGGCAAGCGAGGTCGCCGGGAAGGATCCTTTCATGACAGTTCCTAAGTTCTGTTTTGCGGTTTCGCCTTGAAACCTCCTTTTGTTTGAACTCACACCTTTTGCGTGACTTCAAAACAACACCAGGCCCTCGAGGAAGCCTTGTTTCCGGCCCAAGCCATGAAAAACGAAACACCAGGCCCTTGAAAAGCTGGTTTTCCGGGTGAGGATCCAAAAAAAAAACCGGGGCCCCGAGACTGTGACTTCAAAATACGAGAGTTAAAAAAGGACACCGGAGCCTGTTGATCCCAGGTTTGATCCTTAGTCCGCTCCTTTTCTTGCTCGGAAGAGGGTATGGCGCTTCCATTATTCTTGGCGAAAAGGGCTGCATTTCCAACGCAACACGGTCAGTGACCACTTGTAGCCCAGGGGCAAAGGTGTTTGTTTTGCAGTTGCTTCGGTGGAAGCATTGTGATAAGAATCAGTGGGCCAGGCTTTTACAGAGTTAGTGGGAATGGTTTGGGAGGGGCTTTTG